TGGCGCCGCGTAATGAGAGCTGGACGAGCCAACTGACTCGACGAATGATGACTGGGATTGGCAAATCACGTATAGCAAGATCTGATTGGGTGATTATGGAGTGAGTGCTGGATGTGATTGGATCACATCCAAAACTTCTTCCCGCGACTATTCATCTTGTCAGGGCGTTGCAGGGAGAAGCTTGAGGGCGGCTGCTGCAGAGGAACAGGGAACAAGAAGGGCGTACAGGAAGGTAGTTACAGACATGTAGGAAGGGTAGATTGTGTAGCTGCTAACTAATTCACTTCGGCATTTGCCTTCTACTACTCAACAATAATCACATGTAATGAAAAGCGTGAGGATAATAGACTAAACCGTTTTCAGAAATCATTACGCTTATCACGGATCACTATCTGACACCTTTTAAAGTCCGATGAATGACATTGTACAGCATAAGATTCGTTTATATTCGATGTAAAACTAACTATACCCAGACAAGTCACGGGCAACCCGATAGAATTCTGCATGAATCTACCGTCGCGAGCGCCCAGCATTCAGCAATTCGGTAAATTTGGCCTCATTCTGAGATATCTTGATCTCCGAAATATATATATTTCCCATCCCTGAGCCATGGATCGAAGGCACCATCAAATTGGTCCTTCGATGCGTTGTTGCTCGTCGTATTTTCAATACTTTGTAACTTGCCAGCACTTTGAGACCTTGTCGGGTCACTTGACCGTGGCTTGTCACTCACTTCCCTGCATGAGAAATAAGGAAGTTGCTTGTAGCAGTAGACTTATACAATGTTAAATCATATTCAAACGTGATCTTTAACAAGATTGGGTTTCAAACAAAGACTTTGATGTAAATACATACGTTAGAAAGGTGGAACCAATCCGCGACGACTACCACCGCCAGCCACGTAAAATACGATGCTGATGATAGCTAAAGTCGGTTGTGATGAATATATCGCAAATGGAATCAATTTACTGTGCATCCAACAAATCAGTTTCAAATTGTTCATCAAGCAAGAATATTTAAAGTTGGCTGCTGGTATCTCGTAAACGGATTTGGCTGATATCAATTGTAAAGCGTAGATTGTTTCATTTGTTTGGCATCATTCGGTCGTGCTAGCAGTATTCAAATCATAGATAGGTTGCTGTCATCGTGTATTATCTGATCAGAGGCCTTAGCTGAGTATACCAAGTCTAAAGATGAGTTGTGTAAAACCTAAAACGAACCAGAAATGTTGTACGCTGCTACTACGCCCTAGCAACCTTATACAGGCTTTCAAGATTTTATACATTGCTAACTGTGATGTGCAGCTCGATGGTGCGTCGAGTGTCAGAATTATCTCCTCAATGGCTGCGTAGCCTGATTTGCTGAGATTCTAGAAAATGTTTCTGCTCTGCGCACTTGCATCCACAATCTACGTGGTCCCGGATTAGCAACTAATTTGTATGCGAAAATCACACAGAATGCCCTGACATGGATTACAATATATAAAAATTGAAGTAGCCGAATTTATGCTCCAGCATCGTATCATCAATCAATTGATAGCAGTGCAGAATCTTTAAATAAGTAAATGGAGTCTTCCCATCAAGCAGCTATTGGATTCGTTATTATTTGCTTGAAAAATTGTAAAGAGAGACCTGCCACGTAATTCGATATTTAACGAACAACTCGATCGTTCGAGTTACTGTTGAGCAGAATTATTTGGTAGTGCATGATCTGAATGCAGAGTGCATACTTATATCTAGAAATGGGACATATCTGACTGAGTTCGACGTTGTGACCTTAACGTCCGCAACAAGGAGCTCTATTTCGATCCTTGTGGCTAGCTACATGTTGCGGGGTTAACATCGTGTTTGTACAGGATAAGATGCAATCGTGTTATTGTTCACGAGCATATCGATGTCCATTTCACGAACAATTTAAAAACACATCGTAATGTCATCAAATTCACAATATTTAATCAGCACATTGTGCCTCAAATTCTTTTTATCAAACAGCTATGTACTAAGGTGCTTCATTTAATTGTCATATAAAAAGAAGAAATTTAAAAAAAAAACAAGATCATTACTGACAAGAATCCAAAGCATACTTCATTACATCGTGGTCATGGATAACATTGCCACGAATGCATCGGTTGACGCATTTCATACGAAGTCTGCAGTTAGAAAACTAGTTGGCAGAACTGCGAGCATGTTCCGTTAGAAACCTTTACGACATTAAGCTGCGGCGAATTGCAGATAGCGAGATTAAATTTGCACTCGTTGGCGTATGTTATTCCATTCGACGCGCATACAGGCTCGTTAACTTCAGGGCATCGACCAGGACATAGTCCGGTTGTTAGGTCATTGCCAGGGCAGTTAACTCCATTAGCGATCGGACCAAATCCAGCCTCGACACTCTTGCAACTTTCAAGATCGCGAATGCACTCGTTTGAATACATGTTGCCGTCAGATCCGCACACAGGAGAAAAGTCTTGGGTACACACCCTGTCGCAATTACTCGTCTCGGCCGCATTTATGGCTGCTGCACACGCGACGACACCGACTATCCAGCTCAAGGTAATCTTCATGTGGGACGATTCGGAAAGCAGAAACTCAAGATGATTGTTGCAAATTTTAAAGTGAAGGAGGTTTGAGAATGACAGCATCACATCTCCAGGAGCCCGTGACTGACGATATTACTACCATGTAATATATACTATTTTGAACACATGATCATGCTTGGGCACGTAAGTAGCCTAAGCTTGAACTGGATCCAGAATCCTGTGTGTTTGAGCCAGGCACATCTCTAATCTACCTGTACAAGGACAGATCATGTTTCAACTAATGCACGATCATTACATGCTCGACAGGGCAACAATTCATTTAAGCCCACATGACGCATTCGCACAATTGTTTGGAGTCATGACGTGCTGAAAATCCATTGAGCAACCCATGTTAGCACCAGTACTAGACGTGCATCCTTTTCGCCAAACATCCATAATGCACGTGATCTTGCGCAAAGTTGATGCCTTTACTCGCACCAACAAATAATTTGTACTCCTATATGACCAATAATTTCTTTGAAATTTCCCATCCTGTGCTGCATCTCACAAGCCATAAACACTGTATCTAGTCTGAAAGATGGGTGGCCCAAAACGAGGCTACAAAATTATTAAATTAGAAAATTTAATATCTCGATGGTGGAATTGTACGTTCAACTTGGTATAATTTGCATATTTTGTTTTGCCACCACTTAAAAAAGCTCACGCTAGGTCTAAGTGTCGAATGCTTTATCAAAAAATGCCAAGACTCGCGCGAAAAACAGAAACGCAATCAACCACTGCAACTTTAAACGGTAGACTGAATTCATTGACATATCAGTGAAAGTGTTGAACTGTAATGTCAAATTGTACGATGTATAACCGAGCGTGGATTTTATACAAACAGGCTTGGGCTCAGAACCAATTTTGTGAAGATGCCTTACACCTAAGTGAGGACTCAGATACTTTGTGTGTGTTGAATGTAGAAAAATTTTGGAGCCTTGGGATTTAATGCATGTTCATTCTCCATCGGGTACTTGACTCCTAAAAAGGGGTGACGTTTTAAAAATTACCAATGCTCATAAATTGCCTCTTCTGCATGGTAAGCGTATAAATATTTTTCTCATACAAAATAACGTTGCTAAGCATAAATCGAGCGATCGTTTGTATCACGGTCATTTTTGAGGCACACTGAGAGAAAAACTACTATATTAAAAGCAGGGGAATATGACGAGGTTGATATAAGTAGAAGAGCTCGAACGAAAGGACCTATAGCAGTTAGCTCTAAAAGCTACTGTTCACCATTGCTCATGCCAGTGCGGTGAATGTGCAAATGCTGTTAACGCTAAACGTTTGCCGTTTAGACCTCGTATACAAGTAGCGAAATGTGTAGTTATGAACTTAGCCGCGTTGTGTTTAGAAGGAAGTACGGCTAGATAATGGTAGGCACAAAATTTATCAGCGGTGGATTGTCGTTTCGGCGCTCTATTTTGGAAATGGGTAACATAATTGGCAAGACACATTTACAAAATCGACTGCTAAATTAAAATGTAAGGGGAGTGGAGGGCTTGATTATGATCGAAAATTTGAGTGTCAAAAGCAAGATTTGCACTGAAGACGTTAAGGTGAGTCAGACAAGCTACAACGTGTGATACAAAGTATGTGAGCCCCTCGACTTCATTGCTGAGCAAGAGTGCACAAATGTTCAATCGTACTGTCATCGCGTAAAGAAACTCGTACACGTTCATGCATTTTCTCCTTCTGATCTGCAGACGGGGTTCTCTTACAGATCTAAATCAGCATTGCCTGTACATAATGACGATCAGATGATGCGGCTGCGAATGGTTTAGGTGCTTTTCCAACTTACGTGTGCAATGAACAGCTTGTTCTTCAACTCACTACTGTTAATAAGAAATGTTAATGAGCATATAAAATGCTGATTTACTACGAATTATATCTAAACTTTCCAAATTGAACTATGCTTGCTTTTATGGTACTATTGCTGTGAATTATGTACTCATCTCAGTTGAAATTTTGTAGCGTGGAAAATAATGCATGATGGCATGAAATATGAGGTCAGTGCGGCTTGTCCAACTTTGAATATTAAGGATTTAACTATGATGCTGTGTTTAATTACGTCAAAGATGAGTAAGCAAATCACTAGCCTTGTTTAGAGTAAATCAGCTCGCCAAAGCGGGCTTATTTACCTTCGTATCGTTTCAAAATGCATTTTGAATCCGGATTCCATACACAATCGTCACTCGGATAGCTCATATCCGGGTAACTCATAACCTTGTACATCTAGTTCTACCAAGCTTATTTGAATGTACCCTATACTGAATCATTACTGGTCGGATAATCAATAACCCTGACTAACCATAGCTATTTTTTCGCTGCATTTATTAGTTATCCGAGGGACGACTGTAATTTTAAACTTCTTGACGAGATGAAATAGAACAAAATGGAAAAGTGACACTCTTTGAAATATTAGTCAGAGCGTATGCACGGTCTATTTGACCCTTTCGATTTGAATACACCACATTAACTCACCAACACCATTGGAGACATGATACCATACTTGACGGTCCTGTTAGAAATTATCAGAAGGCTAGTAGTTGCGGAAGGTAAGTTTAATGCTTCCTAGCGGAATATGGTATGCCATAGATGTTTGCGCTGGGATGTCGAGGCTCAAATCTCGCTTAGGTATTGCTATATATATATCGTGACAGCTGTTTAGTACGTGTATTTAGTACAGAGTTAGCTTTCACTCAAAAAATCCGCATAATAATCAAAACGGAGATGGCACCACCGAGAGAGCAACCAAGAGCCTTCCAAGCGTCCCAGTACTCGTTTTCTCAGCAATAACTCTTAAGCAGAGGCTCTCACCTACGTGTTCAACCTCGATTTCTCGGATTCCCATCGTTTTTGTCTGTACCAACATTGTATCACCTATGAGATTTGCAGAAAATGTAGTGTTTACATGCAATATAATGCGGCTCACACCCTTCCAACCTAAGATGTGGACTTCATAGGATTTTGCTTATTCTGTCGTTTAATACATTGTATGTTTACTCTTTGCACTCTGTAATACCTCCTCCTGCGAGAATCTTTGCGTCAGGAAACTTCCTCCAATTATGATCTCATGAATAGTCAAACTCTGAAGAAGGGCGAAGACTTCGACTACATTCAGTGAAAATAACGACCTATTCTTCAATGAGAACGATCATTAAAAGTAACCCAGCACCGCCGCAGACATACGATCACGCAACCCACTGAGGAGGAGGCGCATACTATGCACCTCCTAGCTCCGCGTCAATTTTCTAAAGGGGTAATGCTGCAATACCTCACAGTGAAAGTAACGACGAAACCCAGCTTGCCAACAACACGCTGGATGTAACGGGGTTACACGAACCCTAATAACAGGGGTCTGTGTGTCACACGAGATGTGCATGGTGTGATCACACACTCAAACAAGAATATGTTTTAATCGAAGTTTTAATTAAATTTTAACGGTACGGGCTAGGTAGCCAGTTAGTTATGCATGTATTTAGATTTTACTATGTATGTTTAGTATGTTTAGGAAAATCTAAACTTTTAACATTAAGATAAAAATATAAATAAAATCAGTTTGGAATTTAAACCGAAGAGTCGATTAGCCTTGGGAGCAATAATCAATCTTGGAGTAAGCGGATTGCGATCCGCTAACTCATACTTGGTTCTTGAAAAGAACGTTAGGTCGATGACCTAAAGTACGCTTCCTCGAGCGCTTTGCTACGGCAGCCCCGCCGCACTTGGTAGCACTTGTAGTTAATCTACACCTGAGTCGTCTAGACTGATCTTTTGTGAGGATGGAGGAATTTTCCTCTTTGCCCCAGGGCATGCAGGACGGGCTTAACAAGCTGATGTCCTTGCTTGGCCCTGAGGGCGTGCAACATCCTGTAGCACAAGGCCCCGAGGCAATCGGTGCGCGTCTAGAGGCGTTTTCGAACTACGAAAACGCGCTGCTAGAGCACCTGCAGCAGAAGATGTCTGCATCGTGTGCGTCTATGACGCCACCGTCGGTGACGGATGACTTATTCCGACATAAGCCGCTCATGGTGTGCGTTAAGGTCGTTGAGGGGAAGGATGGAGGGAATCTGTTGCTCTGGGTGAGAGAGGTCGAGATGGCCATCGCATCTGCCGTGCTCCAGACTGAGCAACACCGCGTGGCGCTAGCCATCTCCAAGCTCGGTGGTC